GGTGAGCGGCGCTGTGGGGGCCGCTCGGCCCCGCTTCATCCGAGGGAGGCGGCTCCTCGAGCCTTGCCGAGGAGGGCCTGAGGGGGTGCGCGAGGGTGCGGAGCCCCAGTGTCGCCGGCTCGAGTCCCTGCGCGACCCGGCAGGGGAGCCAAGTACCCGAACTAGAAGAGAACTCGGGGAGAATCCGAGCCAGCCGCCGTGTGCAGCAGATGGAGAAACCGAGTTTCAGGGAGGGGAGGATCTGCTCGAAGTTACGGCGAGTGAGCACCGAAGTCAGCACCGGGCGCCCTAGCATAGTGCCCGAACTCTTTACACTTAAGCCCTTCATTTATTAGTCGCCTATTTTTATTTGTTTCGGTGCAAGGCAATGAAATATAAAATGGAATACAGTAAGGTCCGCTTGAGAGACCAATTATGATACAGTGTTTTATCTTACCAATTTACAAAGGCAGAAAGCAGTGAGTGCTGTGGTGGCGGCATGTCTGAGATGCCGTGACCGCCCTCTCTCAAACTCGAGAAGCTGCGGAGAGACTCGTTGCCTTGATTCCCGTCACACAGAGTCATGGCAGAGGCTTTGAGGCATTTGACAGCCCGCCGGGTATCATGGTTATGTTCATGATTGTCACCCAGAGCCTCACAGAGGAGGGACCGCAGATCCTAGTGGGCTGAGTCCTACTGACCCTCTGCACATGTTTGCGCTCGACTCATACACGGGGTTGTGAAGTTCACAGATGCTCATTCCACAAACACTGAGTGCCTGGCATCTGATGGGAGTTGTGTTAGGTACTGGGAATACAGTGATGACAAACAGTCCCTGCCTTCAAGGAACTCCCAGGAAATAGACATTTAAATACTTGAGTATTAAAGCCTGTAAAGGCAGAGATGGTCTGTACATGGCAGAGTGCAAGCACCTAAGGGGAAAGGAGTCGCTTCTACCAGGAGGGTGGGAAGGATTAGGAATGGCTTTTTAGGCAAGGTGATTCTTAGAACTGAGTCTTTTAATACGTGATTACTAGGCACAGGGAAAGGTACTTAGGAAGCAAGAATAATCATACGGAGACCAGAATTATGCAACAGCATGGTTCAGTTGGCACAGGAGGCTTTCCATTATCTAGCCTCTGTCTAATAATATCAAACACTTTTATAGTGCTTGCTGTGGGATTGACATTACTTTGTGTGCTTTATATAGTTTAACTCATTTACTCTTCACAACTCTGTGAAGTAGAAACTATAATTATCCTCACTTAGAAAATGAAGAAAACTGAGGTATAGAAAACTTACATACCTTGCCCTAGTTCACACAGCTAATACATTGTAGAGGTAGAATTCAAACCCAGTCAAACTGGCTCAAGGGTCTGTGAATTTAAGCACCAGGCTCTCCTTTCTGGAAACTGAGACATGCAGAGTTTTAAATGTCAGGCCCCTGGTCACATCACCTCTAAGTGGCCGAACCAGAACTCAGACTCAGGTCTTTTGACTCCAGAATGTCTGTCCAGTGCTCTTTTCTTAATAACATCAGATGTGATGGGAGTTGTACAGTGCCAAATTGAAGTTAAATTCCAATCTGAGTCAATGCTTGCTGCAATACAAATTACCGCATCTTTAAGTGTGAATATTGTTCAAGAGCCTTCACTTTATGACTTGGATGTACTGAGTGTAAGTGCTGCAGTTTGGATATTAATGTGAGGGTGCAGGACTGATCATAGTTATGGTAAAGGTGCAACATTATTTGCCAACTGATGGTAAATAAATTTCTGAACATTGCATTCTACACTTGTATTTAACAGTTACATCGTTTGTCGTAAGTAGAAGAGTACTTTATTCTTATTTTTTTATTTTTTTAAATCCTCACCCAAGGATATGTTTAGAGAGGGGAAGGAAGAGAGAGAGAGAGAGAAACATAGATTAAGAAACATCAATCAGTTGCCTCCCATATATGCTCCGACCGGGAATCTACCCCGCAACCTAGGTATGTGCCCTGACTGGAATCAAACCGTCAACCTTTTGGTGTACAGGACAATGCTTCAACCAACTGAGCCACCTGGCCAGGGCAAAAAGTACTTTTATTTTTAATCAATAAAGATTTATGATCTTTTACTGTGACTCTCTTCTGTGGTAGCTGCTGTAAAGGGATTCTTTTGAAAGTCAAGTAGGTTCCTTAAATTTGAAAAAAGGAATTAATTTGGATTGTTTCTGCAATTGGGCTCTTCAAATCTAGATCCAGATACAAGGCTACATTTGTGTTTAATATCTATAGTTAGGGGTAATGAGAAGATGGGAGCAGTTGGCCTAACTATTGGAGGAATCTTAAGTCATTTCACACTTTCAGAGACCTAATATGCTTGTAATGTGCTGTTAATTTTAGCCAGAAGTTATAAAAATTTTCAAGGATAAAAACTGAATTAGAAGCACACTTGGTTAAACTCTTACTCCTTCAAGAGTCAGCTCAAGCATGATCTTCCTATAAAATCTTCCCTGACTTTTCTAGAAAGACTTAGTTATTACCTTCACTACTTGCCTACTGCATCTTGGATATATCCCTGCAATGGCACTAATGATAGCATATTATAATTTACTGAATTTGTCTTCTCCACTTAATTGTGAGAAACTCAAGGGCAAGGGCCAGGTTTTTAAAATTTGTATTTCTCCTCCAGCCCATCTCCTCAGCCTGGAGCTGAGAGTATATACAGGGTGGGGTGAAAGTAGGTTTAGAGTTTTAAGTACGAGAAACACACAATTTATTCTTGTATTATTTTCCATATGAACAACTGTAAACCAACTTTTGCCATATCCTGTATTGATGAGTAAGAGAATATATAAAGGTGATGTTTATATTGCAGCTAAAGAACCTTTCTTACCTGGTTATTGTAGTTGGAAGTGATGCATTTGACGTAGTGGGTATCAATAACCTAAATAGAAATAGCTTTGATTTTTGTTACTTTTTTTCCTGTTAATTGTTTTTCTCTGTGATTGCAGTGTGTAAAAATGGAATTTCAAGCAGTAGTAATGGCAGTTGGAGGGGGATCTCGGATGACAGACCTGACTTCCAGCATTCCTAAGCCTCTTCTTCCAGTTGGGAACAAACCTTTAATTTGGTATCCATTGAACCTGCTTGAGCGTGTTGGATTTGAAGGTGAGCTATGGTAATGAGATGCACTCATAAAACTTTTAGGGTGCTTGATCCTGATGATTTGTCAGTTTTATGAGGGTGAGGGAGGAGAGGATGAATGAGAGAAGGCTAGGACTCAGTGTTGGCTGGAGACTGGCCACTTTAAAATAGGAACGTAGAAGTACTCTATTGTTGTGTGAAAAAGGTTGAGAAGATAGCACTAAGTGTTACTGTTTTAGAGCTGGTCTCCATAGTGATCTAAAATGAACCCTGTGCCCAGCCGGCATGGCTCAGTGGTTAAGCATCAACCTATGGACCAGGAAGTCACAGTTTGATTCCCGGTCAGGACACATGCACAGGTTGCAGGCTTGATCCCCAGTAGGGGGCATGCAAGAGTCAGACAATCAGTGATTCTTTCTCATCATTGATGTTTCTGTCTCTCTCTCCCTTTTCCTTTCTCTCTCTGAAATCAATAAAAACATATTTTTAAAAAAATATTTAAAATGAACCCTGTAAGGATATCAGAAAGAACTAGTGGGTATGCACATGCCTCATAGTCAGTACTTGCTGTGAATCTTATGTGCCAAGTAATATATTAAGCACTGGGGTACAGAATTGAAAAGATAACTCAGGTCCTGATCTCCATTAGACCATAAAGTCTAATGGAGAGATACACATGTAAATAGATTCTCATTGTGTAATATGGTAAATGTTATAACAAAAGTACATTATAAGTGCTTGGGAATACAGAGGAAGTTGCTGTTTCTACTTGAGGGATTCAGGGAACACTTCACAGAGTAGCTGACCCTTGAATTAAGTCTTGAAAAGTAGATTATCAGATTGACAAGTGAGGAGAGAGCATTCATTCCATGCAGAAGAAATGATATGAAGAGACAGATTCATGATCAACACAGCATGTTTTGGCAACTGCTATTCATTCTATGTGGCTATAATATAAAGTGTAAGGGGAAGGAATAGATGTAGTGAGAGAGAGAAGCAGGGGTCATGCTATAAAGGGCCTTGTATTTCGTGCTGAGGAAGTTAGGGTTTTTTTCCTGAAAGCAGTGAGAAACCAGTGAAAGGTTTAAACAATGGTATAATGTGGTTAGATTTGTACTTTAGCTATACTATGTCATTTGCACCTTTGTATAAATATTAGAATTAGCTTATCAATTTCTATAAAAGAATTGCTGGGATTTTGATTGTGATTGAATTGAATCTATAGGCCAATAGGAAGAGAATACACATCATAATAATACTAAGTCTTCTGATCCATGAACATTGTATATCGCTCCATTTATTTATATCTTCTCTAATTTCTCTCAGTAACTTAATAGTTTTCACTGTGTACAACTTACACATATTTTGTTAAAGTTATCTCTAAGTAGTTTATATCTTTGATGCTATTGTAAATGGTAATTGTTATATTCTAATTTCCAGTTGTTTGTTGCTAGTATATAAAAATATAGTTTTTAATATTAACCTTTTATCCTGCAACTTTGCTTAATACATTTATTAATTCTGATGGCTTTTTTTGTAGATTCCTTAGGATTTTTTACAATTTGACTTAATTGACATTTATAGAACATTTCACCCAGTAAAGCAGAATATACATTCTTTTCAAGTACTTTTACCAAGATAGACTATATTTTTGGAAATAAAATAGGTCTCAATAAATTTATAAGGATTAGAATCATACAAAGTATATTCTCTAACCACAGTAGAGTTAAATTAGACATCAATAACAGAAATATATTAAGATAATCCCTAAGAATTTGGAGATGAAATCACACACTTCTATATAACCCATATGTTTAAGAAAAAAAATCACAAAGGAAATTAGAAAATATTTTAAATTTACTAAAAATTAAATACACTGTATTAAAATTTGAGGGATATAGCTAAAGTACTGTTCAGAGGAAAAATTATAGCATTAAGCATTATGTTAGAAAAAAAGAAATATCTCAAGTTAACATCAAATTTTACTTTCACAAACTAGAAAAAGAAGAGCAAATGAAACCTAAATAAGTAGAAAGGATATATGTATTTTTAAATATATCTTTATTGATTTCAGAAAGAAAGGGAGAGGGAGAGAGAGAGATAGAAATATCAATGAAGAGAGAGTCATTGATCGGCTGTAGCCCACAACCCGGGTATGTGCCCTGACCAGGAATCGAACCCCAATCTCCTGGATCCTAGGTTCACGCTCAACCTCTAAGCCATGCCCTGCTGGGCAGTAGAAAGGATATTTTTTAAAAGATAAGAGCAGAAATAAATGAAATAGAAAACAAAAACATTAGAGAAAAATCAATAAAATTGTTAAATCTTTAGTTAGATTGATCTGGGGGGAAAAAGACTACTAATAACAGGAATGAGAGAGGAGACATAACTACAGATCCTACAGACTTTAAAAAGATAAGGGAATATTATGAACAACTTTATGGTAATAAATTTGATAACTTATATTTACATTTTTAAAAAATTGCTTTGGAAGCTATATGAGAAATGAATTTGAGGGAGTCAAGACTCTAAATAGGAGATGAGTTAGGAGATTGATACAAAAGTTCACACCAGCAATGGAGAGGGCCTGAACTAGAGAAGTAGCATTAAGGATGGAGAAGAGGGAACATTTGAGAGAGTTGATGATTAAGAGGAGAAGTGCCCGGCCAGGCGTGGCTCATTGGTTGAGCATCGACATAGAATCCAGGAGATCGGGGTTTGATTCCCGGTCAGAGCACATGCCTTGGTTGTGGGCTAGGCAGCTGATCAATGAGTCTCTCATCATTGATGTTTCTATCTCTCCCTCTCCCCTTCCTTTCCTCTCTCTGAAATCAATAAAGATATATATATATATTTTTAAAAGTATCATGTAATATATATTAAAGTGTGGGCTTTAATCAGACAGACCTGAGTTTTTCTTGAATCTATTGCTTACTAGTTGTGTGACCTTGAACAAAGTCAAACAACTTATAATCCAAGTTTTCTCACTTGTAAAATGAGATTGTTGTAAGAATTGAGAGAATGCATGTAAAAGACATTGAAAAGACTCAATAATATTAACTGTTAGAAACAGACCAAATCGAATTGAAATAGACAAATCATTATCTAACGAATGAGAGTTTTTGTGTTTTTCCTTTTTTTTTCTTTTGTGCTATAGAAGTCATTGTTGTTACAACTAGGGAAGTCCAAAAGGCTCTATCTGCGGAATTCAAGATGAAAATGAAGCTAGATATTGTGTGTATTCCTGATGAAGCTGACAAGGGAACTGCAGATTCTCTGCGCCACATATATCCAAAACTTAAGGTGAAAACTGTTTCTTGTTTTGTTCTGTTTTTAGTTTTTTGTTTTAGATATGTATTTATTGATTTCAGAGAGAGGAAGGGAGAGAGAGAGAGAGAGAGAGAGAAAGAGAGAGAGAGAGAGGGAGACATCAATGATGAGAGAGTCATTGATTGTCTGCCTTCTGCACGCCCCCTGCTGGGGATCGAGCTGGAAACCCAGGCATGTGCCCTAACCGGGAATCTAACCGTGATCTCCTGGATCCTAGGTCAATGCTCAACTGCTGAGCCACTCAGGCTGGGCATTATTTCTTGATTTTTATTGTTTATTAAAGGTAAATGTCATCTTATGTTTTCCCACTACTTTATAGTTTACAATGCTTTTTAAAAATATATATATTATTATATTACATACTTTGTTGTCCATATATTCTTCAACTGTTTTTAGTTTAATTACTAGTGAAGATTTAGACATTTAGTTGTCAGTTACTGGTTTCCAATATTTTAAAGTAATAGTAAATCTTTATTAAAAAATATATACTTCAAATTTACTTTAAAAGATTCTATTTATATGAAATTCATGAATAAGCAAAATTATTATGTAGTGATAAAAGTCAGAGCAGCAGTTGACTGCAAATGACAGATTAACTGGAAAGAAGTACAAAGGAACTTTTAAAAATTCCAGATCCCCTCACATGATAATATTTAAACTTTTAGTCTCCTTTGATTAAGAGACTAGCAAGGGCATATGTATATGAGGATAGTCTCCCCAGTGGCCAGTGGCTCATAAACTGAGAAAGAGCCATCATAAATTGTCCTAAGTCCTTTTTTTTTTTTAAAATNATGATAATATTTAAACTTTTAGTCTCCTTTGATTAAGAGACTAGCAAGGGCATATGTATATGAGGATAGTCTCCCCAGTGGCCAGTGGCTCATAAACTGAGAAAGAGCCATCATAAATTGTCCTAAGTCCTTTTTTTTTTTTTAAATACATCTTTATTGATTTCAGAGAGAGAGGAAGGGAGAGGGAGAGAGAGGAACATCAATGATGAGAGAGTCATTGATTGGCTGCCTCCTGCACACCCCTGACTAGGGATTAAGCCTGCAACCTGGGCATGTGCCCTGACCAGGAATCGAACTGGGATCTCTTGAATCCTAGGTCAATGCTCAACCACTGAGCCACTCCCTGCCAGGCTAAAATTGATGTCCTTTGGAAAAAATCCAGTCTGTGTGATAATGTTGCCATCTTGATTGAATTGGGGAGCAGACCTTCTTCTGTTATTTCTGGTGACTGCAAACAGATGTATTAATATGTTTAACCTATCGATGCACTAATGAACAAAAAATTCATGCAGAAATGTACATGACCTTCCTTTCTCTTTATTGGGGAGTAATTTAGACACAGTAAAATACACATAGATATTAAGTTATTTATAGTTCAATGAGTTTGGACAAAGATATACATCCAATTTACCATTACCCAAATCTAGAACATTTCCGTTACCTCTGACATTTCCTTTGTGTTTCTTTTTTGTCAGTTCCCACCTATAGCACCAACTGCTGTTCTGATTTCTATCACCGTATATTAATTTTGTTTATTTATGAACTAGATATAAATGGAATCATACAATTTTATTCTGGTTTCTTTTGTTCAACGTAATGTTATTGCAGGTATAACTAGTTTATGCTTTTTTATTGCTGAGTAGTATTCCATTGAATAAATATACCACTCTTTACTTATTTTCCTGTTGATGGTCCTTTGGATTGTTTCTAATTTTGGATATTTAGAATAAAGCTATTACGAATATTGTTCTACAAGACTTTTTGTGAAAATATTCTAGGTTGTAGGGTTGATCCTGTTAGAAACTGCCAGTTGTTTTCCAAGTGGTTGTACCATTTTACACTTCCATCAACAATGTATAAGAGATGCTTTTGCTTCACATCCTTGTCAATGCTTGATATTGTCAGTCTTCCTAATTTTAATCATTCTAGTGGGTGTGTATGTAGCGGTATCTCACTGTGGTTTTAATTTACATTTCCTTGATAGTTATGATGCTGACCACCTTTTCATGTGTTTATTGGCCATTTGTATATATCTTCATGGAGTGTCTGTTCAAGGCATTGGCCTATTTTTTAATTGGGTTGTTTATCTTTTTGTTATTGAATATAGATATTCTTTGTACATTCTAGATGCAAAGTCTTTTGTCAGATATGTCTTATGAATATTTTCTGACAGTCTGCGGCTTACCTTTTCACTTTCTTAATGATGTCTTTTGATGACCAGAAGTTTTAAATGATGAAATCCAGATTACTGATTTTTTTTCTTTTATGGTTAGTTTTTTTGTCTTGTCTAAGAAATTTTTGCCTACCCCAAGTTTGTGAAGAGATCCTTTTATGTTTACTTCTAAAAATGTATAGCCCATCTTGATTTAATTTTGTATGTGGTGTGAGTTAGGGATAAAGGTTTGCTTTTTTTGTATGTGGATATTTGCTTATTCCAGCATACTCTATTTCTGTCCTCTGTCTTGTTCCATTGGTCTATTTGTCTACCTTTACTTCAGTACCACATTGAGTAATGTCTTGATTATTTTAATTTTATAGTAGGTCTTCCAGCTTTAGTCCTTTATTTTAAGATTGTCTTGGCTATTGTAGGTCCTTTGGATTTCTGTATAAATTTTAGAATTAGTTTGTCAGTTTTAACAAAAAAAAACTTTCTGGAATTTGTTTTGGGATTCCATTGAATCTATAGATCAATTTGGGAAGAATTGACACCTTAATATTGATTATTCCAATTCTTGAACATCTATTTATTTAGATTTCCTTTCATTTCTGTCAATAGTGTTTTTTAATTTTCATTTTAGAGGTTTTGACCATCTCTTGATAAATGATTCCTAGGTAAGGTAAATGTTTTTAATGATATTGTAACTGGTATTTTTTATTCTATTTTTCAATTGTTTATTACTTGTGTATAGACATACAACTGGTTTCCATGTTGCCTGCAAATAAAAACATATTACTCTCCCTTTTTAATCTTTATGCTTTTTATTTATTTATTTTTATCCTCACCTGAGGATATGTTCTTTGTTGTTATTGTTGTTTTGTATTTCAGAGAGAGAGAGAAATATTGATGTGAGAGAATAACATTGATCTGTTGCCTCCCATATATGCCCCGACCAGGGACTGAACCTGCAACCTAGGTATGTGCCCTGACTGGAAATCAGACCTGCAACCTTTTAGTGTATAGGACAATGCTCCAACCAACTGAGCCACCTGGCCAGGGCACTTTTTATTTCTTCTTATTGTCTTATTGCCCTGGCCAGGGCCTCCAGTGCAATATATATAGGCATTTCCATTTACTTTCTGGCCTCCCTTTTTGTTTTTCTAAGCTTTTGCTCAAGTTGGTGCTTCTGATTAGTCTGGGGATTTCCAATACCATAATGTTGGGTGTGTGACTTTCTGGAGTGCAGCTGCTTATTTCTTTAGGGAAAATATGGGGAATTTCACTAAGATAATGAAATGAGAATCCTGTTCTTTCACAGGCCAGATGCCAGGTTTACCAAGAAGCTTAGGGTGTTTAGTGGTCTTCCCAGGGGCTATTTTAACTATTGTCCAAAAATTTAGGATGTAGGTGTGAATCCTCATTGTTCCTTCATTTGTAAATCTTGGAAATATTATCTATACCCTAGGCTGGAACTGGAAGTCTCATGGAAATGAATTCCTATAACTCTTAGAGGCTTGAGAAGTAATAGTCCCAACTATTAATAGGAAAGGGCATGAGGAGGAGAATAATGACTGGCAAAAGGACATTTTACTCTGAAGTTACTACCTCTTCTTAGGGTTTTGATCATTTCCTCCTTATTAAGTCATTTGGCACAGTCTCATTTCTTTTTTTCCTTTAGCCCTTTGTTTCCACATCATTTATACAGTATCTTTTACATGTAATCCTACCTCTGTGCCTTCTTCTCAAGCTGTGACTTTGACTAGCAAGTTTCTGCTCTCTTTGCTATCTGTACATGGTTTCTTCTATAGCAGTGACTCCTGAAATCCTGCCTTCACATCAGCTTGCATTCCAGCCTGGAGTAGAAGGCAACAAAGCTAATCTGTGGAGGAATATAAGTAGACTCCTACACAGCCAGTAAGAACAAAGTAAGCCCTGGCCTGTGTGGCGCAGTGGTTGGAGTGTTTGCCCACATACCAAAGGGTTATGAATGACAAGAAAGAGTTAGAAGAGTACTATGCGCCCTCTAGAGGAGTATCAGGAAACACAGCTTGTACTGCTTCAAGAATGTCACTGTTTGAGTTTTACAGGAAGAATTGGAATTTGTGATGGTGGAGTGATATGTAGGGATAGATATTCCTAGTGTGAAGGGGATAGAATAGCTTCAGAAAAAGCATTAAAATGTTGGTAGATCCTGTACTTTAATAGTTGAAGAATTACTGCAAAGCTGAGATGCGACAGGGTATTTTTAGTTACAAATTATGTCATCTGAAGGCCTCAGTCTGTTAGCATATACCTTTAAAACGTTTACCTCAATCTATATTTCTTTGATATATACTAAAAAATAAAATGTCGATTAAATAACTTTATTGGTAGTCTTTTCTTTCTGAGTGGCAGCCTCAATTATATACTTCTTTTTTAAATATGTTTTTATTGATTTTAGAGAGAGGAAGGGAGAGGGAAAGATAGAAACATTGATGAGAGAGAAACATTGATCATCTGCTTCCTGCACCCCCCACACTGGGGATCAAGCCGAAGCCTGGGCATGTGCCCTGACTGGGAATCTAACCAGTGACCTCTTGGTGCGTGGGATGACGTTCAATCCACTTAGCCACACTGGCCAGACTGTACATTTAAGGTGTAACTTGATCTTTTATTTAGAAGTTGAGTAATTCGGGGGAGAGAAGAAAGGCAAATGAAAAGTAAAATTGGAAAGCATTAGAAACCTGCTTTGCAGTAATAGCTGATTATTCACACAAGATCTCTATCTGTAGCCATTTGAGCACTTCTAAGGATACTTAAATTTG